ACTTAAATCCAGGTATCTGAGGGATGTGGAAGCTTAAGGATATGTGGCACCCTGGCCCACAGGGTGCAGACACAGGTAAGTACAGCTGTGAATTTCCACAAAGCTTTATTCAGTGTAGCTTTTTAACTCAATCTTAAATAGTTCAGTTTATTAGGAATACTGTAAAACACCACCTACTTTTTCTTCTCACAGGTGACACCTTTTCCCAACTAACAGAAACTGGCAAACATTGTAGAAGAAATGTCTACTGAGCTCATGAGTATAAAATTTATAAGAACAGAAAAGTGCTTTGCGGAAAAAAAAAAACAACAAAGTACAGGAACGCATGTAGTGAACAAGCAGAATGACAGAGTCTACCATTAGGAGCAGACCCTGAATAATTATCAGAACTATAGAAATCTTTGCATTTTGTTATTTGTCACAGGATTTAAAATAAGAACACACTGAATACAACACATATTTATTGAATAAATAACTAAGGAAGATACCCTTTTACATTATACAGTGCATTGTACAGATTCTATCATCACACCATTAACCTAAGTTCTCAGAAGTTAAACATTACAGAGACTTCAGGACAACACAGCAGTCTTTGGCTCCATTTAACACAGGAAAGACCACAGCTGGTCATTGGATCTTTCTCAGTATAAGGTTTTATCTTCCAGAAAAGGGGCCTAATACCATTTCCTTTTCCAAAAAGTTAGCTGCCTTGTTTCCATTTCCACTATCCTGTACCAACCCATCTTTCTCTTATTTGATGTCTGTCCTCTGATCACTTCCTCCTCCCACATAAACTGGAAAAAGGGGATCCTTTCTGCTTTCTTGGAGGCTTCTGATCTCAATTACAGGTCTGGACCAAAGATGTATGGAAAAGGATGGTGATTAATCTGTGTACTTGGACAAGTTCAAGGCAGTGTGATCTACTTCTGGGAAGGCCTGGATTCCATCTACTTCTGATGGAAAAGCCCCAGTCCAAGCAGTGCCCAGAAGTGAATGGAGAAGGCAGATGGGCACCAGGTTCAGGAGAAGGTACTGATAGTCCAGTCCTTTTAGTTTTAAAGATGTATTGTTGTCTGAATCTCCTCCACTTCTCTCTCTGGAAATTCACAGATGGGGCTCTCTACCACAGGAATGCCACGTGGCCTGGCCTGGTCCTCTGACTAACTGTAGCTGAGAATAAACAGACTGACGGATTGACTAAGAGTCAGTGATAGGCAGTCAGGAGCCTGAAGCCCCCAAGCCTTCTCCAGACTTTGACGATGAAGCACCAGTTACAGCTCTCCCAGCTCGCCTTCCATTGCCCGCACCATGACAAACAGCTCGGCCAGACCCACCACTGAGGCGACGATCAATGCAGCCAGCACCCGCTGCGAAGGGGGAGAACCTGGCTTAGGGGATGTAGGCCAACACCAGCTCTGCAGCCCTCAGCACCTTTAGCCCCCCAACCCAGGCCCTAAGTTGGGGGAGGGGAAGAAAAGAGGGTCTTACTTTTCTTGGGGTTGTTACCCACCCCTATGACTGCTGGAAAGCTCAAATGCCCCCCTTGTTTACCGCATAAATATCTGTTCAATACCTAACCTGTGCAAGGCACATTCACATTCATCCTCCTTTACGCACGAATACTCCTACCTGGGGCACTTTGTCCTGCCCAGTGCCTACTCACCGGGGCCATTTCTGCGAAGATATACTGGCTTCCAAGGTAAGTGCAGACAAAGGCAGCTGCCACCGTGACAATGAAGTTGAAGATGGTGATTACCAGGGCCTTCACTGATCTCACTTAGGGGAGGAGCCCAGAGAAGAAACCTTTAGATCAGTATTCTCCAGGAGACTTTCTTATCTCATGGCTGCCTCCCCTATTAACTGGGTTTCCCTCAAACAGCAAGCCAGAATAGCTCAGCCTTAGACCCGGAGCACTGGGTGGGAAGGGGTGTCATAATCCACCCCAGAAAGAGGCTTTAGCAGCCTGGTTTCCTAGTACCTCACCTTGCTTTCCCAGGTCACTGAGAGTCCCACCATGCCTTGAATCCTGGGAAAAAGAAAAAGCAGATCTCAGATTGGAAGCAGCCCAGAGAGCACCCATTTTACAGTCTGGGCTTAGCTCTCTCTATTTCTCAACAAATTAACTCTGCCTTCTCCAGGGATTCTTTTTTTTTTTTTTTTTTTTGAGACAGAGTCTCACTCTGTTGCCCTGGCTAGAGTGAGCACCATGGCGTTAGCCTAGCTCACAGCAACCTCAAACTCCTGGGCTCAAGTGATCCTACTGCCTCAGTAGGATCTGCCTCAGTAGGAGCTGGGACTACAGGCACAGGCCACGATGCCCGGCTAATTTTTTCTATACAGTTTTAGTTGTCTGATTAATTTCTTTCTATTTTTAGTAGAGACGGGGTCTCGCTCTTGCTCAGGCTGGTTTCGAACTCCTGAGCTCAAACGATCCGCCCGCCTCGGCCTCCCAGAGTGCTAGGATTGCAGGCGTGAGCCACCACGCCCGGCCTCCAGGGATTCTTTTGCTTAGGATCAGTTTGACTTTTTCTGGACCACAGAGCAAGCATTTCAGAAAGAGAACATAGGCGCCTAGTACCCATCTACTCCTCTCCTGCTGCAGGGCAGAAGCATGCCAGAGAATAGTCGGGAGCCCTGACAGAAGAAAGGCTTCAAGGCTCATCCCCATTTCTATGATTTAAGAATTGGTCATCATCTTAGCCCAGAGTCTCAGTGAACGGGTTGGGAATTATACTTAGTTTGTATGCAACATGGAGTTCCTATGGTCCCTGCATAGTATATAGATCAAATTTCCATGTTGTTTCTATCCTCTGTACCTCTTTCCAGTGCAGGGCCCTGCTTTCAGGGGCTACTCAATCCATGTATTCAAGAACAGGCACTTACTTGACAGGTGACATTGCGGGTGATCCGCTTATATTCCTCATTGGCCAGCTGTATCTTAATCTTCTCCAGCCGGGCAACTAGCTCTGGGTTCTGAAGCAGAAAAATCAAAGGAGAATGATATTCCCAGCTTGCTAGAAAGTAGGTCACAATTACTGGTTCCAGGGGGAAAGCATTGCTAAGGGTGCCAGGAGATCCACATACCCTTTATATACTGCTTTAGAAACTTTTTGTATTTCAGTTTCCCAAGCTGTCCAATGAGGAGGACAATATCTGGTTCTCCCATTCTAGATCCCAAAGATTTAAAAGACAAATTTTTCAAGCCCAAAAGTTGATTCATACATTCAATGTATCATGAATAAGCCTAATTCAACCACTACCCACTCTCACAAATACATCCCTTACATACCCGGGGAGGCTTCACAACCTCTGGGAAATAGATTTCACTGCCTTCCAGGAGCTCATGAAGGTATAGAGTGGAATCTGAGAAGAAAAAGTTTCCACAAACATAGTCATGCATAGAGCTGAGGTTGAACAGTTAAGATCAGAGAAGGGGCCAAGGCGGGTGGATCGCTCAAGGTCAGGAGTTTGAGACCAGCCTGAGTAAGAGCGAGACCTTGTCTCTACTAAAAAACAGAAAGAAATGATCTGGACAACTAAAAATATATATGTATACAAAAAATTAGCCGGGCATGGTGGTGCATGCCTGTAGTCCCAGCTACTCGGGAGGCTGAGGCAGAAGGATTGCTTGAGCCCAGGAGTTTGAGGTTGCTGTGAGCTAGGCTGACGCCACGGCACTCACTCTAGCCCAACACAGTGAGACTCTGTCTCAAAAAAAAAAAAAAAAGATCAGAGAAGGGTCTAGCCCTTCTTTCTACCAAAATAAAACATAGCCATCTCTGTACCAGTCCATCTCCAGGATCATTTTCAATTAGGAAGAATTTAAGATAATTCCACATAAGTATCTCCTAGTGCTGTACAGCTGACTTTAGCTATCAGCTCTATATTATCCTTCCCATGTTACAACACACAAGCCATTTACATTTGCCTTTGGATGAGATTATTTCTGTGGCCACAAGAGTGTTGCCCTAAATAGGTTTAGGTCATAGTGATGTTAAATACTCAGGGGACACTGTACTAGGTGATCTCTTTCCAACATCCTTTTAGTTCTAACAGTTGAGCAGTCTACCCTTTGCACTTCTGGCTAGGCTATGTTAATTCCGGCGAAAGACCTTACATGCCAGTTTGTCCTATTCCTTCCCTTTGCACATAAGGGAACTGAGACCCAGGGAGGAGAAATGACTCCCTCAAGGGGAGTTAGTGATAGAGCTAGGACTAGAACGCTGATGCTACTCCCAGTCCAGATCTTTCGACAAAGCTTTCGTCATCCTATCTAAAAAAAAAAAAAAAGAAGAAGAAGAAGATACTAGATTTTACCACTCTTGTTTTTGAGATAGAAAGAAATCCAGATTTCCAAAAGGTCAAGCTAACTATGCTAAGTTGGTTCCTAATGTGACAAAAAAGGAAGAAACTGAACCTGTTAGATGGTATTGAGTTAGAACCTGAGCTTCTTGAAGGGTCAGGTGGGCCTAGGTGTGTCTGAAAGTGAGGACGAGACTCTCCAGAGAGCCGAAACAGCGTTAAGTAAAATTTGTCACCCAAGAGGAATTCCAGTGGGAGTTAAGAAGAGACTGGGTGGCCCAGGGTTTATGAAGTAACTCTTGGGTTGGCTAGATGAGTGCTCCGCGGGAGGAGAGTGACAGAAAAAGACTTCAGGAGGTAGCAGATCCGGAAACAAGTGGCGATCCTGTACTGGAGATTGGGGCTCACCCCTTTCTCTCAGGTGCTGATGTAGATCCCGGATGAGACGGAAGGAAACCAAGCGTTGGGAGCCGCTGGAGCTGCTGGAGCTGTCACCTCCCGCGTGCTTCTTCCCCAGCGCGGCCTCAAGCTCGGCCCGCAAGTTTCGGGGGAGCTGCTCTGGCTCCAGCTCCCCGCCCGGGCCTAGAGCGCGCACCAGTCGCTCGCCGGCTACCAAAGAAGACGCCATATCTAGCCGACTCTACGGTCAGGTGACTTCCGCCCGCCGTGCGCCGGAAGTAGCTAGGCGCTGACGGGGCGGGGCGAGGTTGGGCAGCGAGCCAAGGGGGCGGGGACGCGGCGCGGGGCAGTGTGGGGCGGGGGCGGAACGCCACCCGGCCGCGGGTCGGGCCCTGTGTCAGCAGCCGAGCAGGCGCTCGGGGCGGGACATGGCTGGCTGTGCAGCCCGGCGGGCCCTGGCCGTGGGCAGCCGCTGGTGGTCCCGGTCATTGACCGGGGCCCGGGGGCTGAGGCCGCTCTGTGCAGCGGGTGGAGTCGGGGTCTTCCCGCCAGCGGTGACCACGACGACGCGGAGGCACCTCTCGTCCCGGTGAGGGACGGAGCGAGGGGGTGCGGGCGCTGGGCCTGGAGCCCAGGGAGCGTGATTCCCGGCCAGTAGGAGGCCAGGAGGCTGGGCCGGCTGAGGGTGACTGAAGTTAGACGCGGGAGAGGGTCCTGCCCGAGCAGGGAGCCGACCTGCGCTGCCCGGGACGTGTGCCAGGAGCAAGGAAGGGAGCGCGGCCTAGAGCCCTGGTTGTGCAGGACTGGCTCTGAGGGGCTCCAGTAATCCTCTCCGAACGAATCCTACCTCCCTGGCTGGGGTCTCCAGCACCGCTGTCAGTGCACAGTCTTTTAATTCAAAACTAGTCCTTTTGACTTAAACCCTCAGCCTATGGGTTGGGTCAAAGCCTCCCTCAGAAAGATGCTAAAGGTGGGAAACAACACTCTTGAAGGTGGGTGCTCATGGGTCCCAGGTTTCAGTGTGACCTTGGGGACACCGGTTTTCTTTATATGACTTGGGGAAGGGAATTCGAGGCCACGGGGTTGGTGTGAACAGTGTCTCTGTGGATGGGACAAGCAGATCAAATTGGGGCCGGTGCATCAGTGGGAGGCAGCATGAAGTTCACATCTCCAAAACACTAAAAATAACTTTTCTTTGAAGGGCCCCTAGAAGGAGCAGCCCTGTTCAGAGAGAGAACTGACAGAGCTGACCTTTTAGTGGCCGAGATTAGACACTGATACTGGGGAGAGATGATAGCTACTTGCAATTTAAGACCCCTGTGAAAGTGGATGTAAATCTTAACAAAAACTATATTAAGAGACTACTAGGTACAATGTAGGGGAGTACAGGAAGAAATCTAGAGATGATTAAGTCCTTCAAGGGTAGTGTAAGGACTATATTGTAGAGGGGGAGATGGATGTGGAATTATAATACAGGACAAATATTTTTTGAGCACCTCTCATATATTAGGCTATGAGGGGCAGCACAGGCTAATCAGACACAGACATTGCTCCCAGGGAACTTACAGTCTCTAATGGAGATAAGACATGGACACACACAACTGAAATGCAAAGTGGGCAGGATAGTTAAAATGCTGTGGGAGGTCAGGAGGGTGGGTTAGGGAAGAAACGGGCAAGGGGTACATTTAAGCAGGGTGAGAGGGCGTGATATGAGAAATGCTGAGTGAAGAGAGAAGAAGGTGATCTGGGAGCAGTCATATCTAACACTGGGAGACTGGGGAGGTTTTCACCAAGGAGGAGGAGAAGCAGCAGCTCTGTGGTGTGGTAGCCTGGCAGGACCCCTATCTGCTCCAGCTGGCCCTACCACCCCAACCCTTCTCTGCTGTCATTGCCCTGGCCCCTCAGGATCCTAGTAGCTTATTCTGATGGATAAGTACCATTATTACCTTCTCAGCTTTTCAGTTGCTTGTTCTTTTCCTTCCTATTTAGAAACCGACCAGAGGGCAAAGTGTTGGAGACAGTTGGTGTGTTTGAGGTGCCAAAACAGAATGGAAAATATGAGACTGGGCAGGTGAGTATTGGGCTGGGTCATCTTTCATTTTCATGGAGTACTCTGCTTCAGACTTCATCACAGGTCTGAATGGTATGGTTTTCCATTCATTCCACTTTGATGTTTGGTGCCTGACCAGATTCACACATTTTTAAAGATGGAGTTTCTTTTTTCCTAGATTTGAACACATTTAATGTGTCAGTGGGTTCTCTCCAAATTAGCGTGGACAGGGATGGTTTGGACTATAGTGAAGAGAGAGCCAGGTTGCTGAGAGTTAGGATTCCTTTAACATAGTGGATGGTGGGAAGCCAGTGGAGGAAGCTTTCAGAAAAGTAAACCTTTGATGCTTTGTCATAATAAAACTGATTACAATGTGGTAAGCTCTGGGTGTGAGGCTCTTTTTCTATATCAGCTTTGTTCTCAGTCCACTGGAATAGATTTAGGGCCCTGGTAGGTAAGGAAGACTTTTTGTTTAGTCAACGTTTTTTTGGTATGCCTACAATGGACCAGGCACTATGCGTTAGGGTTAAATCAGAAAGCAAGGTAGACATGATTCCTGCCTTCATGGAGTTTACAGTCTAGAAAAGAATTAATCATATGTAAATCGTCGATGGCTCTACACTGTGCTAGGTGAAGGGAAGGTCAAGGAAGACTTCCTGAGGCCAAGCGTGGTGGCTCACACCTGTAATCCTAGCATACTGGGAGGCTGAGGCAGGGGGATCGCTTGAGCTCAGGATTTTGAGGTTGCTGTGAGCTAGGTTGATACCACGGCACTTGCCTGGGCAACAGAATGAGACTCTGTCTGAAAATTAAACAAACAGGAATGCTTCCTGAGGCCTAAGCTTTGACCTAACGGATGAGTAGAGTCAGCCAGCTAAAGAAGGAATAAGAGTGTTCCAGAGCTGGCCTGGGTTGATCACAGAGTTCGTGGGAAAAGGCGGCAAGATCTTTTGCTGGAGATACCTCCACTGGAGCTGCTTTGTAGTCTGGGCCTCACTTGGGTGGAATTGCTGTACTGCGGACTCACCGAGGCTTCTCTTTCCTCCCAGCTTTTCCTTCATAGTGTTTTTGGCTACCGAGGTGTCGTCCTGTTTCCCTGGCAGGCCAGACTGTATGATCGGGATGTGGCTTCTGCAGCTCCGGAAAAGTAAGTTTCCCTGGCATTGTGCCTTGTAGTATCCTTAGGAGGAGGCCTTACTCATGGTAGACATACATAATTAGGGTCCCAGGGGTGAAGACAGCACCCTCCTGGGCCTTGGAAACAGCTCCAGAGTACTTCTCTGGCACTAAAACTCATGTAGACAAAAGTGCTGAGTGCCAGGGACAATCTTAAGCCAGAGGGTCCCTTGAGGCCCCCCCGAGAATGCTCTTCCAAGCTACTCTCAGTTTTCATTATAAATACCCCAGAGGGCATTTGGGGGACCAGTCTTTGATTTTTTCATGTTCAATTGGAATCTTTCCCGTAATCTCACATCATCACTAGAGTACATTAAAAGGTCCAGCTCTATTAAATGGTCACACGTAGCCCCTGGGGTGTAAGAAGTGGAGGGTTGTCTGGGCCCTGGGGACTGACAATTTGATTTTCTCAAGTTGGTGCCCTTCTTTTAAGAGGCATCTGGAGAGTAAGACAAGTGATGACTGTGTACCATAGTTCCTCCATGTGCCACTGTTTGCCCCTATCTAGGGTGCTGCTGAGCAGATGCCCAGCAGTGCTAAAGCCCCTTCAGATCAGGGACCAGCCTGTTTAGATGAGGAGATGCAGGGAGCTCAGTGTGGCACAGTCTCCATTTCTCTTGGGGTGATCTTGGCCTTCTCCTCCCATCCCACAGAGTAGAGAACCCTGCTGGCCATGGCTCTAAGGAGGTGAAAGGCAAAACTCACACTTACTATCAGGTGCTGATTGATGCCCGTGACTGCCCACATATAGTAAGTAAGCAAGATGGCTGGGCCTGGGGGACCTCTCCATGGAAGAGGCCTGTACCCCGATGGGGACAAAGGGAGGGAAAGGGTCAAACAGAGCCCACATCAGCCCTGGGCCCCAAGACCTTGCACAGTGGCCAAGAAAGCCCTTGATTCACTTCTTGCCTTAGTCTCAGAGATCTCAGACAGAAGCTGTGACCTTCTTGGCCAACCACGATGACAGCCGGGCCCTCTATGCCATCCCGGGTGAGTAGTTAGCATCTGCATGGTACCTGTTGAGAAGGGGTCTACTGTGTCTCTGGGAGAGGATTCTGATGTCCTGTCAACTGTTGGAAGGGATTATGATGCTGAGAGGTATAGTGCTGGGGTTATCCCACACTGGGACAAGGCCAGGAAATGTTTCTTTTTAGCCCTGTGTCTCTCTTTTCCTGTGTGAGTTTCACTGTCTCTTTGCCTCTGTGTGCCAGGCCTGGACTATGTCAGCCATGAAGACATCCTCCCCTACACCTCCACTGATCAGGTTCCCATCCAACATGAACTCTTTGAAAGATTTCTTCTGTATGACCAGACAAAAGGTAATCTCTTTTAAGAAGGGAAGCTGGAATGGAAGGGCCCTTTCTTCAAAGAGAGTATCACAGAAATAATTCCAAAGCTCTATTTCCACATCCCTTTCAACCTCCCAATAGGCCTGTCAGGTAGATGGCTATTATCTCCTTACAGATATGGAGAATGAGGCTCAGGGATATTGAGAAGTTACTCAAGGTTGCTGGTAGCAGAGCGAGGTCTGGAAACCAGGGCTCTTAACTCCCAGACCAGTTCTCTTCCCATATCACACTGCTCGTGCCTCCTCAGGACTGATTCTTGGCAGCATTTCTGTGCCTTTTTCCAGCCTGTACTTTGTTTCACAAGTGGGCGTCCTGTTCACCTGGGCCACCACTGGGAAGGGTTTTCTAGGAAGGGCAGTTGGAGAGTGGGTGCAACACCCCGCACTCTAGCCTGGCCTGATCAGTTGTTTCTTGCCCTAGCACCCCCTTTTGTGGCTCGGGAGACGCTACGGGCCTGGCAAGAGAAGAATCATCCCTGGCTAGAACTCTCTGATGTCCACCGGGAAACAACCGAGAACATCCGTGTCACTGTCATCCCCTTCTACATGGGCATGAGAGTATGTGCCCAGCCTGGGCCCCTTCCCATGGGGCTAGGCCCCAGTTTCTGTGTGCTGTCTCCAGTGTGACTGCTGGGAGAGGGAGGGTTCTAAATTTAAATCTTGTCCCTATGGTTCTGCTCCCAAGAGCTGCATGTGTTGGGTGGTGCTGAGTAGCCCCTTGGCAATGGCTGACACCAAGACCTAGAGCAAGGAAACCCACAGTCCTAGGAAGGAGTCCTCCATGCTGAGTCTTCTTCCCTGTGGCTCAAAGGGAGCCATGTTTATGAAGAATATACACATACTTGTTTAATCATTGTAGGCTGACCTTCACACTTTGTGCATTAGTCAAATGTTTATTGAGTTGTTTCTTGTCTGGCTGTAAGCTAGGTTCTGGGGGTACAAATATAAATGAAGCACTGTCCCTGCCTTCCAGGAGCTCATGGTAGTCAGGCAGACCAACATAAAATACTGCTGGAAAGGGGGGTGAGGGGAGGACAGGGGAGGATGGGCGGGGCTGGTGAGGAGGGTGATGAGAAACGTAAGAGCCCCCTGTAGCTGATTTTCTGGGCATCCAGCTCTGCCGGCGATCTTGACAGGATGAGGAGAAGGGAATGGACATGGCAGCCTGCCCCCCTGTGGGCTTGGGGGCCACAGCTCAGTCGTCGTCCTCGTCCCACAGATACTCTGTCTCTGCAGCCTTCCTGGAATACGTCTACTCCACTGGAGAGATGTTGATTGGAACAGACTTGGTCTTGCCCTCTGGGACTTAAATCTTTGTGTTTTTTCCCCAGGAAGCCCAGAATTCCCATGTCTACTGGGTGAGTGTCTCCCTCAGGGGAGAGGGGAGCTCAGGAGGTGTGCCTGGGGGTCAGGCTGGAGGTGAGGGAGCTTACCTGCTGGCGGGGTGGAGCCTGTGCAGTGCGGGTGTCAGCCTTCGGTGCCTTTCTCTCTGCACAGAGTTCGGGGTGGCTGGCCCAAGGTCTGTTCTTTCTTAAACACTACTCTCTCCTCCACACCACTGCAGTGGCGCTACTGTATCCGCTTGGAGAACCTCGACAGTGATGTGGTACAGCTCCGGGAGCGGCACTGGAGGATATTCAGTCTCTCTGGCACCTTGGAGACAGTGCGAGGCCGAGGGGTGGTGGGCAGGGTGAGCATCACTGGGCCACTAATGCCCGGTTTCTGGTCCTGCCCAGCAGGCCTGGGGGCTTGGCGCATGCTTTCCTCTTCCTGTGTGACTACAGACAGAGGCTCACTCTGTGAACACATTGGGTTGCTTTGGATTAGAGATCCTACAACAACCCATTTCACAGATGGAGAGAATTACACTGAGAGGTTAAATACTAACATGTGGTCCCACAGCTAGTATTGGCGCGGCCTAGATTTAAACCCTAGTGAGTCTGAAATCCCAAGTTTTCGTAGTTTTTGTTGAGTGGCATAATGTCTTAAAAACCTGAATTTGAGTGCCCTTAGGTGGGGCATGCATCTCCCACCACTCCCCATGGTCTTGCTTCTGGCTCATTTTACATGTGTACATCCTTTGCTGGGCCTGAAGAGCTTTTATATTCCCTGCCTACCCCATGCTGCCTCCTGAGAACTAAAGTCACATGTGGTATTGGTGCCCCAGGCCACATTCAACAAGCATTTGTCCAAGTCAGCAGGGACTTGGGGAAGCAGGATGGCAAAGTAATAACAGTGCTTTGGAATTAGATAGTCTGGCTTCAAATTCTGGATGTGTTATAACTGCATAACTTTGGGCAAGTTATTTAACCAAAATCTAGGTTTCTTACTGCTAAAATGAGCACACCTATTGCCTTATGATGGCTAGGAGAATTAAATCGGCAAAGGTTTGCAGTGTGCCTGCCACGGTGCCTGGCACTTAGCGCTCGTGAATGGACGCTGTGAAGGGTATTTATGGAGTAGCTCCTGTGTCCAGCGTCTTTCTGTGGTGCCCTCAGACATTCAGTCTGAGATTCTTTCCCAGTCAGGATGAAGGGCCCACGCCAATGGCCATGCTGTGGGCACAGGTACTGGCAGGCAGTTGTGGCAGTGCCTGCAGCGTGGTGACTGGGGTGAGGGGGCAGCCAGTTCTGATGAACTGGCAGTCAGCGTGTGGCCCCAGCTTGCAGGGACCATGTCCCTGAGGCTTGGCCTGAGCCATTTTGCCTGAATCCTCACAGGAACCAGTATTATCCAAGGAGCAGCCCGCGTTCCAGTACAGCAGCCATGTCTCCCTGCAAGCTTCCAGTGGGCACATGTGGTAAGTGAGCGTGTGCTGTGGCAGGGGCCACTTGATTCCACAGACACAGGCTGCAGGGCAAAAAAGTGAGAGCTCATAGCAAGCTCATGGGTGGCAGTTAACGCTGGGCCTAGTTAAGTCCTGAGATGGAGCCTTATCTGCTATTCACTGTGTGGGGCTTGTCTGATTTTTTTTTTTTTTTTTTTGAGACAGAGTCTCGCGCTGTTGCCCGGGCTAGAGTGCCGTGGCATCATCCTAGCTCACAGCAACCTCAAACTCCTGGGCTCAAGCGATCCTCTTGCCTCAGCCTCCCGGGTAGCTGGGACTACAGGCATGCGCCACCATGCCTGGCTAATTTTTTCTATATATTTTTAGCTGTCCAATTAATTTCTTTCTATTTTTGGTAGAGACGGGGTCTCGCTCTTGCTCAGGGTGGTCTCGAACTCCTGAGCTCAAACAATCCGCCCACCTCGGCCTCCCAGAGTGCTAGGATTACAGGCGTGAGCCACCGCGCCCGGCCTTGTCTGATTTTTTATTACTGCCTTTTCCCCAGTTCCCTATGATTTGTGGACTGAAGACTTAGGCCAGAGGTCTGGTGATTTGATGCGGCAGAGTTGCTCATGTAGTTGGGTTTTTTTTTCCCTGGTATTTCACTCTTTAACCTGAAAGTACAGTTGGGTAGCTTATGCAGTGTGCATCTAAGGGCCAGAGTCTGGACAGCTGTTTCTTCTTTTTATGTGGGGACAAGACAGGCTCTCGGGTCTCTGGACCAGTCATCCCTTCATGAGCTCAACGAAGAGAGCCCAGGCCGGCCTCATCCTCTGGTTCTGGGGCTGAGGGCATGGGCCCATCCAGATCCTCAGGAGGGCTCAGCCCTGACTCCTTCTAAACTAGCTTCTCTGTGACCCACAGGGGCACGTTCCGCTTTGAGAGACCTGATGGCTCCCACTTTGATGTCCGGATCCCTCCCTTCTCCCTGGAAAGCAATAAAGATGAGAAGACACCACCCTCAGGCCTTCACTGGTAGGCCAGCTGAGGCCCTGAGTGCCCAGGCCTGGCCCCACAAAGAACAGCTGTCATCCCACAATTGCTGCAGAACTCTTCTCTCCTCATCATGAGCCACAGTGGGTCTCTTAATTTGATTGTGGTCCTTTTTTGGGGGAGGGGTGGTGTAACTGTTTTCTTCAGAAGACCTATGTAGGACTCTTCCCAGGCTGGCCTCCTCATAAGTCCTGCCTACACCGTGTTCCAGTAAACCTTTCACCAAGGAACTGTGTTCAGCTGCCACAGGCCTGGAGGATCTTCTTGGTCTGTCACACAAGTTGTCTGGAATGTGAGGTTTGGTCAATAAACCTGTGCACGCTTGGCCACGCTCACCGTTTCTGCCCGAGTCACAGGCTCTTTCTGATCCAGTGGGGGCCCTTGATTGCTCTCTGTGCTGCTTTTCCAGAGAGCTGCCCCTTTGCTAGGATACGTGCCTGTTTCCCTCAGCCTGGAGGCTGGCTGGACACCTCCCAGGGTCACTGTGCCTCTCAGCCGGTGGGTGATACTCGACTGGACTCTCATGTTCTCTCCTTCACCTTCTGCCACGTGCAGAGAGGGAGACCAGTGTCAGCATCAGAGTGGCCTCACTGGGCCCGGGAGAGGAGTGAAGCAAGCCAGCTGGGTTTCCTGGAGCAGTGGGCTTGCCAGCCACGAGTGTGTCAAGCATCCAGACCACAAATGCAGGAAATCAGCTGAGGAACAGCTTTAGGTATGGATGGTGACTAAGCCAAGCTACTTCCTGAGCTGCTCAGATATCTAAGAGCCAGAAGTGAATTGTGCTGCATTTTGCCCTAATTCTTAGGATTCTTTCTCCCCCACCACTGCAGTGATTGCTAGAGGTCATTTTATTCGTGAATTGGTATTAAATCTGGTTCCAGCCCTTGTTAGTGTTGTCCTTAATCCTTCACCAGGGGGCGCTTGAGTTGCAGGGCAGGGTCGCATGACACAGCTGGAACACAAGGTCAGGTGGCGTACAGAAATACAGGAACTGAGCCTGTAGCAGCGAGCTGGCCAAGCCCTACTCACGGTAGACATGGATGGATCTGTGCCATTGCAGTGTAACACAATTTTATTAGAAATTAGTGTTTACTTCCAGCACTCACGCTGGGCAAAAGTATTGCAGTTATGTGATAAAGGAAAAATTCTCATGCCCAGGACCGGTGCCAGCCTTCAGGCCGACCTCGGTCACATACCAGATTCAATAAAACCCAACACTCGGTCTGTGCTGTTGCCCAGGCTTCCGGTTTTCTCAGAAACTGATAAGAAAGTCTGACATTCACACTTTTTACTTCCACCTGGGCTGCTTGACCTTGAAAAATTCACACAGCCAAGAGATGCTTTCTGAATGGGGCCAGGACACTTTTCAAAGAAAATTCCCCCAAACCCTTAAGCTACAAAGTCTGATTACAGAAGCCAAGATCACTTCAGTGAGTTCAGTATTAGTAGTTTCCTCAAGACCAAGGAGATATTTTCAGTCAGGGAAGTAAATGCCCAGTCCCAGACACCTGTGCTTTCTCAGGAAGACAGACCAGTCACCACTGAGCCAGCCAAGGATCTGAATGGCAAAGCAGTAAGTAGAGGCTGGTGGGGGGAGGTCAAAGGGCAAGCATGAAAATACCTCAGTGGGGAGCTGGGAATTTCAGTATTAAAGGGCTTCAAGAGGGCAGCTGAGAAAATAGGCCAGTGATCTCAGGCTGAAGCATTCCAGTCTCTGTGGGAAAGCCAAAGCCTAACTTGGCCAAATAAATGGATTTGTCTTTATCTTGTAACTCCAGTGAAGGCTTGTAGAACTAGTAGCTCATCACCAAGGTACCTGCCCTGAGACTCTTAGAGCTATGTATACATTCAAGACTGTGACTAACATGTAAAATGCCTGATTGAAGTCACATGTCCCCTGCCATCCTGTCACTTCAGGTCCTTGTGAGTGTCTGACCCTGGGCCTGGCACTTGCCCATAGACTCTGTGGGGTCAGCCGTGAGTGGCCACTTAGCTATCATAAGAGTCGCTGAGAGGGATGAACTTGATAACCTACATCCCTTCCCGAGAGTGGATCCTGTCCGTGGTTGTGCTGCTTTGTTAGACTGGCAGAATGGCCCCTCCCTGACGGCATTCCTCTGGAAAGAATTCAGATAAGCTGCTTCCCAAGGGCCAAGCCAAGCAAAAGAAGGGAATGAAAACCAAAGCCCTAAAGATGAGCTCACCCTGGCTGATGCTGGCATCTCCATGGCTACGCTACCCAAAGGAATGGAGGCCTTCTAGGGGCTTGGGTTGCTTCCATCATCCGGTGTTCAGAGACTCACCACTGGGCAGAACCACCATCCCCAGCCAAGACGCAAACCAACAGCATGGATGGAGCGGGGTGGGAGATACATGGCCGAGCACATGCCACCTCTTCACAGAAGCTGCTAGGAGCACAGGGCTCTGAGTTCGCTGTCCTTGGCTGATGGTCATGCCAGGCAGCACTACAACAGTGCCTGTGGGCTCCACAGCCCAACCCTTGGCTTGCATTTCTGGTGTGAAGTAGCTCCCGTAGCCTGTGACTGCGCTTTGGCTTTACAGTATGTGAGGACAACATGCCTCAGAGCCAAGGGCACTCAAAGACGAGAAAAGCAAAAAAAGCAATCATGTTAGACCCTAGGAGCCAGTTACGTGACTCTAAGATGTAGCGGTAAAGTGTCTTTTCTCACAGGGACCCTATTAGGACGAGTCCCAACTTAGGCATCCTCCCTTCCTCAGTGCTCTGTGGGCTGGCTGTGTGGCCCGGCTGCCCAAGCCAAGGCCAGTCTGTATTTTTATTGCTTTGTCTTTATCCCCTCCCTCAGACTGGCTCTGCAGGGACCAAGGGATTAGGGTCAGAAAAGACGTGGGTCAGGGCAGAATACAAATCTGAATAACAGTACAAAGTGCTTTAAAGGCAGACCCCAAAGGCATGGAGAAGGCCAAGGGTTCTGTCACACACAGGGTCTTAGCACTCTGGAGGGCAACCAAAATGCCCAATCCCCTTGTCATTAGACTTAAAACTATTTGTTTCCTAGATCATTTTTAAAAAATCAAACTCATCAAGCATGTGCTTAAATACCTTAGGAAAAAGGAAGCCCTACCTTCTGTTAAAAACTGGGCCTCCACAGCACCGGCAGCCGCCCTTTCCTGAAGGAAGCCGTTCGCCAGGGGCCTCAGCTGAGGCCTAAGGGGTAGTAGCCCTTTGGCAGAGGAAGGGGGCGCTCAGCAAAGGGCCTGGGGGAATGTTCTTAGCAGAACTCGCCCCAGAGCAGAAGCGGCTCCCTGTCGGGCAGGCAGGGAGATGCTGAGCAAGTGGGACAGGGCTCAGTCATCTGGAAGTGCCTGGAGGCAGGGCAAAGGAATGTGGTCCCTCCCCCGCCCAGGCCCGCTGACCTCCCAGCAGGGCCCGCCATGCCTCTGGGTGCTGGAGCAGAAACCCAGCTAGCAGCAGCACGGGGTGGCCAATGGGGCGGGCTTCCACAGGGCGGGAGATGGGGCCTCCTGTGCCCCCACTCCCTGAGGGGCTTGTCAGTCGCGGTGGGCAGACTGGTGGCTGAGCTGCCGGTCATCGTAAGTGCTATAGCGCTTGACGTGGATGCGGCGGACACGGTCCCGCAGTTCAAAGGTCTCCTCATCTTCACTGGGGGAGGCCTGGCTGCGGCTACGGCTCGTGGCCTCCAACAAGGAGTTGTCAGGGACGCGGGGAGTCTCGTACAGTAGGACATTGAGTGTTTCCTCATAGATTCGGGCCTCTGGGAATTCCACCTGGGACGAGGGGGACAAGAAGACCGAGTGAGGTTTCATCCCAGACAGGGAGCAGCACGTCAGAGTTCTCGGCCCTGTGCCGGCTCCACAAGGCTTCATGACTCACGCAAGGGAGTCTGTCTTGAGGGAGGGCAGGCCTCCCTCGGAAGGAGGTGTTGAGGGGAGGTACTCTGCGGACGTAAGGACACAGAAGACAGCCCCCTCTTCTCCCCACAGCCCGAGACCGATGGGCCAGCAGGCAAAGGGGGCGGCTGTGGCCTTGTGGCCAGGCCAAACACAGTGCCACCACTCCTAGCTGTGGGGCCTCCGGCTTAACCTTTCTGGGCTGCAGTTTCCACATGTGTAAAATGACGGTTCATATCTACCTCTGAGAGTTGATGTCGACATTACAAGAAAGATGTAAACTGCTTGGCAGAGAGCCCGACACCCACTACACAACCAAATACGTGACTGAAGGCGGCTGCTCCGAGGAGAGGTTCTATTGCTTCTTTCTGTGCACCTGACTCAGTGTGCCCTGCCCTCACGACAGTCTGGAGGAAAGAGAAAAGCGGTGGCAATCGAGGCACCTGCATTCTAGCCTAACCTGCGACCCAGCGTCTGCTCCCTACCTGTCCAATGGCGAGAATGGCTCCAGCCCTGCCTGTCTTGCAGGTGTGGAGTGAGGGGTCAAAGAGCTCGTGAAAGACAAAACACTTAGGAAGGTGACAGGTACTGCTGCCATGTCCATGGCTTAACCTGCCATGACAGAGATCCCCCCAAGAATCCCTTCTCCACCGATATGTTCTGGAGCCTCCTCCCCACTCCACCACCAAAAACTGCAGGAGGAAGCAGGGCCACCTGTAAGATGTCCTTTCCCGACCGGCAGCTGATCTCCCAGCCAAGGCACTTCAGTAGTCTGGGGCCCAAGGTGTTCAACGAGCCTAGCTACAGCCACATGACTCCCCCCGATGACCTGCCATCCCACCCCAGCAAAGTCCTGCCGGCTCCAAGACATACATTTGTGGGAAGAAGCCACTCTCTGGGGAGGACACCTTCTGTTGCAGCCCGGAAGAACAAGGTAGCTGAGTCTGTGTTAACTGTCACCTACCAGATGCCTCACGTGTGCCTGGTCGTGGTTAAGCTGAACACCTCACTGGTGGAGGCCAGACAGGAGATCTGAACAGCAATCTGTCTACCCCCGCAGCCCGAGCTATTTCCACTGCACCATGCCGCTTCTCCTAAGAGCGCTCTCATTTTCATAATATCTCTGTTAAGTTCATACTATCATTCCCATGTCTGCCAATGAGGAAACTGAGGGCCAGGTGGTTTAAATGGCTTAGCCAAAGTTAGAAAACTGGCAAGTGGTGGAACCGGAATTCAGACCCGAAGCGAAGCAGGCCTTCCTCCCATACCAGGCTGTCCCCTGCTCTTCAGCTGCCAGGAACAAATGGTTTCTGTCGATTCCCCAAGCCCCTTGTTCTGGCTTTGTCCTTGCCTAGCACCCTCACGGCACATTTGGAAAAGAGCCAAACACATGCCCCTTTTGCTCCTTGTGGTCAAAGGCTCCATCGGGGCCAGGCTGGTCATGCCCTGACCACGCCTGCCGCAGCTGGTATGTGTCCTCCCCACCCACGCAGAGGGAGGCGCCCACACCTTGGTCTGCTTCTTCTCCGTGGCATACACGATGGAAGTGCAGCACACCTCTGCCAGCTTCCGGCCCTGGCCATAGAAGGACCAGCAGCAGATCTCATCGCCGATGACGTCCTTGATGAAAAGCACGCGGCCATTGAAGCGCAAGGAGAGCTTGTCAAACAGCTCGATGTTCTTCAGCAGGTGGTCGTCGGAGTTGCTGAAAAACCCACAAGGGCCAGCAGGCCTGGGAATGAGGTTCCAGCACCAGGGAGGATGCTAGGGCAAGATGGGCCTTCCCCTCCCCTGTCCTGCTTCAATGAACACAGGATGCCAGGGGGCCAGGAAGAGAAAGGGTCACGGGGCACCCTCTGGGTTCGGGGGACTGTGAGGAAAAGGAATTGAGGTGGTTGTAAGTTCAAGCAGAACTGAGGCACTAAGCCCAGAAGGAAGGAGGCACGCTGCTATTTCAACGGGAGGTGTTCCTTTCCTTGCTGTGGGGGTGACAGTGGCAATGTGCCTGTCCAGAGGGAGTCACGGGGAGGCTTGGGACTCTGAGCCTACTGCCACCTGCATATACCTAACTGTGGCTGTTGAGAGGACGTGAGGCATCGGGGGTGAGGGGAACATCAGCCCAGTGGGCAGTACACAGGCTGGCTCAGGAGGACTCCAGCCCCCACCCCCCTTCCCAGTGTCCCTCCTCCACTCCGTAAGATAATGAGCGTGAAACCACCTGGCGCGCTGCCTGACACGACACGTGTAAAGGGTGCATTTCAAGCTCCATCATTTCTATCTTGGCTAGGACCCTGCGCCAAGTTCCAATCGCCTCCACCCCAATTTCCCTTCTACTCTGTTCTTTCCTCTTAGCACGGCTGGTTCTGAGACCCAGACCCGTGCTGGGAGTGCAGGTGGCTTCCCTTGGGTCTGCTGCCCAGTGTCTGCTCTGGCTGCTCAACCCTTTTAGCTGCTTCTGCAGCCCTTCCCCGGGTCCCCCGATAGAGGCACCCACCCTACCTGGTGTAGGAATACTTGTTGTTGCTTCTGTTGTACAGCAGCTTCACCACAGGCTGTGAGGGAGGAGAGAGTGAGGGTGGGGCCAGGGGCCTGGCGTGCCCTGCCCATAGCCCCCAGAGGTCCCAGTACCTTGGTGGAGGATTCGATGAGCCTCTCCTCCTCCTTCAGGGATGTGATGACGGGGATGTTGCACACAGGCTGGTAGGAGTCCTTCTTGTCCTGGGAGACACACACAGCAGAGAACCTTCTATGGGTTCTTCTGTTGGCTGGGCTTAGCCAGGTACCCCGGGAGCCCCTCTGCCATGGCCACTCGGTGCTTGGTGAGGAGGCATCAGACAGAGGTCATGAGGCCCCTGGCAACAGAAATTGCCAGTGGGCAAGCAGACCCCCGTTTCCAGAAAACCTAGGATCCATATCCCTAGGCACACAGACTAGAAGCAGGGCCTACTCACACTGCCGAGGGCGGATACCCGGCTGCCAGTTTGCTGGGCCGGGTGGCATGTCCCTGAATCTAATTAGGTTTGGACTCATCCACCCCACCTCCCACACAGCCTGCCAGGAACCAGACCCTCACGTCCCAGGAGAAGGGGGCAACTCTCGATCTCACCAACCCACGCCAACTCCACCCACCCACCTGCAGAGCTGCCTGGCACATGTTCACCAGCCCCTGAATGAGGTAATATTTTGCTTCTGCCATCAATTCCTTGATTTCTTGCCGGTTTTGAGGGAGAGTGATGGTGTCATCTCGGAGGTAATTCAAAATGGTGCCAAAGTGCTTTCCACACCGGTCTATGAGGATCCAGCCTGCGGAGTCAAACGGGCCCCACAGGGTTACTGTTTGCTTCCAGGTACGCAGAAGCAAGCAAAGGCCACCAACGAGCTGGGTGGCGGGTGGCAAGGAAAGGCGCTCCACGAGCATATAGCCCATGGCACAGGGTGACAGGAGGGAGGATGACGTTCTAGCTCTCATGTCCCTGGTTGGTCTTCACCAGTTCTCCCTAAAGCCAAGAACTGACATACCCCATGGGAGATACAGGCCCTCCAGGCCCTGCGGAGGCCACAGAGGCCTCAGCTCAGGAGCTCTCAGGCCCAGCCCTGGCAACACGAAACCACCAGCTGCTGCCAGCCTTCTGCCCACCACCCAGGCTTATGGCGATGGTTCTTAAGAGAATCCTGTCCTTGGAGGAGGAGGTGGCGGTGAAAAAAAGAAAAAAAAAAAAAAGAGAATCCTGTCCTGTTTGAATATTTAAAAAGTACAGATCTTCTTCCTGGAAGATGCATACACATATAACATTCTATGTACAATTTTAAAGACTTCTGAAGCTCTCCTGATGATTCCAGGAAGCCATCCTATATTAGGTGAAGAGGAAAAGTGAATCTAAATTCTGTATTTCCCAGGCTTAAGCCCTGCCCTGAAGTCATTTCCTCAGGAATCCCTCCTTCCCTCCCCACCCTGCCCCATAAGCCTTGATGACTCACCTTCTTTGTCGGTTAGCACCTCCATGCGCCCGCTGAACATGGCCTTGAGCATGGTGTCATGGCGGGTTAGTGCCCGCACGGTGGTGTAGTACAGGGAGCCACCCACGTTGAGCTGGACGTACTTGTTGCCCAGCCCTCCTCCCTTGAAGCCGCTTAGCTTGGGCTTGGCCCCCGAGGCCGGGCACAGACAGGTATCCCCTGACATCTCCCGCTGCAAGTAGATGACCACACGGCAAGAGGTGGGCTTGGAAGGCTCCGCCGTGGTGGAAGGGGTCACGAGTGAGTGGCCAGAGGAGGCCAGAGCCTCATATTCTCAGTGCTGTGAGCAGGAGATGGGAGAGAACACGGAAATCAGCAATAGAACCCTCAAACCAGGAGAGGACAACAGTAGGAACATGACCAAAGTCCTTCTCTCCCTCGGAAGCCCAGCTAATCCCTGGCAAAGGCCAAGTCCCCAGGCAAAGAGAGAAAGGCTTTACTGCTGTCTTTATTGTCTCAGGAATCAGGGCTGGGAGCACAGTCTCCCAGGGCCCTGCCCTGGTAACCGCACCAGACTCCCTGAGACTCAGCTCCACTCCGGGCGACCAGGAAGACAAGCAAACCCTGGGAACTAGTCAGAGAGGGCCTGAGGAATGGATCACCCTGAGGGGACCAGTCAGATTCCAGTTATTTTCTTTTCAAGGGTCTCAGGATCCCAGACTCCCAGCCAAGCCTATTGGGAATCCAGCCAGCCTAGGAGTTTCTCAGGAGCCAGAGGGACAGGATGCACTTCCTTCCTTTCTGCAGATTCCAGACTCAGGAGCAGCCTGCACCAGTGCTCACTCTGGGTAGTCAAGAGTCTGGCTTCAGAAGGAAAGTAAAAGCAGCTTCAGGAGAGAATGCAGTGAGCTGGGCTGGAGGAAGCTGGCCGGTGTTCTTGGCAGAGGTTACCTGGGCTCCAGCTGGGGCTTCCTGACCTTCCCCTTTCTTGGTACCAGCCTTGCCCCAAGTTCCTAAAATTGTCACTATTTTTGAGAGTAGAATAACTACAGGATGGCTATTTTTGTTTCTTCTTCCTAAGAGGGACCCAGCCCTATCTCTTCTCTTCCCTCCCAAGAAGAAAGGAAGAGAGGCTAGAAAAGTCCAGATGATAAATCTAAAAACGATGAAGTGAGCTGGGTGCATGCCTGTAGTCCCCAGCTACTCAGGAGGCTGAGGCGGGAGGATCGCTTGAGCCCAGGAGTTTAAGACCAGCGTGGGCAACATGGCAAAACCCCATCTCTAAAAAAATGAAAATAAAAATAAGGTAAAGTAAAATAATGAAGTTGGAAACTAAAACATTAATAGGAGGAGAGAGGAAACAAAGGAGAGCAAAGCCAGGCTATCTCTCATGATTTAGAGTCTGTATTATGTTTTTGGCTTTCTAAAAAAATCGCTAAAATTCATTCACTGAAGAAAAAGCATAATAGCTAACATTCATTGCATACTTACTATGTGCTGGGTATTATTCTTGACATTTAATATATATTAGCTCATTTAATTCATTTAGCAATAAACTATTGAGTGCCTACTACGCTAAACAGTAGGGAATGATGAAACGATGTCCTAGCCTTCAAGGAGTTCAAAGAAGCATCATAATACAAACAAGAATTAAAAAAAAAAAAGTTAGCATTTATTGTGCCCCTGATATGTGCCAGGCACTGGGATTTTTATAAGAGAACAAATACAGAAGAGTCATGTCCAGGGAAGGCAGGTGCTAATTGATATTAAAGAGTTTAGACTTTATACTAATTACAATGTAGTACAGGAATCAATTGGAAGGTTTTAAGGGAGTGATATGATCTGATTTATTTATAGCATATTTCTCTCTCTCTCTCTCTCTCTCTCTCTCTTTTGCTGTGTTGCCCAGACTGGACTCGAACTCCTGGGCTCAAGTAATCCTCCTGCCTCCGCCTCCCTGAGGCCGAGTATGGATGATAGGGTAATGGATGAGCTGAGCCCTCACCAGGAGACGGCTCAATGAGTAAGAGATACTAGAATGGTATGAGATCACCTTGCCTTTATCCGCCCACTCTAAAGGAATAAATCCACCCTTTAACAGGTTTTAGCAAGTTCCTCATGTGTTTTGTGTCTAGCCCCAATTTCCCCGGGATCAAAGAAAGCACACATAGAAGTTCTCCAAAGCAAAGGAACTCAAAGGCTAGGCTTGCCAACGAGGAAGACAAATCCAGAACTAATCCCTTCCTTTCCTACAAAGCAATTGCTTTGAGCCCCTGGATGACGTCAGCTCAGATTCCGTCCAGACCAATGGGTTCCAGGAATCCTGTGGCAGGTGACGCCCCAGAAAGTAATTCCAATGAGAATGAAGTTTCCACTGATAGCCTCAGTGCTCTTCCTTCCGGACTTTGTGTGTGGATGTTTGGGGATGCCTGAAGCTAGGGGCGGATCCATGTCTCACTCAGCGAAGCTAATGGGAACCCAAGCAGAACAAAGGGCAAACCACCGCGGCAGTGGAAAGGGGTGGGGTCTTAAAGGAAGAAGGACCCAGAAATCTGTCAGGCACCGCGGACAGCGGGGGTAAAGCTGATCTGGGCTGGAGTGGGCGGGTCTAGCAGAATCCTAGGTGTAAAGGTAAGGCTTCATCCAAAGGGTCCTGGGACACCCAGCCTCTCTTGTGGCCAGTCTTCTCCAGTCCGGGCCACTCCTCACTGCCGAAAAACCCAGACCGGTTCTCACACCCACTCCCAGTGGAGAATTTGAGCTCTCCATCTTCCCTACGCCGTCCCACGCCTTTTCCCAGGACCCAGCAGGGCTCGCTTTGCTGCAGCCAGTGCCTGTCCATCCCGTCCCTTAGGGCATCGGCAGGCCCGGCTCTCACCGTCCCCGGGGGCGCCTCTCCTCTCAGCTGGGTGGCGAGCGGACTCCGTGCAGCCCCTAGCCTGTAGCTGCCCGCCCGCCAGCAATCCCAGGCTGTGAGCTCATATCCTGCGCCCGCCGACTCCACCCGGAGCCGCGTGCGGCCCAGCCCAGCCGGCCAGGGAGCCGGAGACTACAAGGCCCGGCATGCATAGCGCCTTGTGGAAGGCTGGGGGAGTCCAAATCCTCCGAGACTCTTCCGCCGCGAGAGCGCAGCTACTTCCGGCAGTCTTGCTGGCGCAAAGGCCTCTGGGTCTTGTGGACAGCCATCCCTCCTTCCCGGGCCTCTGTTTCCCAGCAGCTCTGTGGAATGTTAGTCCTTCCGATGTCAGGTAGTGACGTTGTGGGTGAACTGGCTCTGTAGCCGTGGCAGCGGCCGAGGCGGGCTGGCCGGGGACCGGCTGCCGCTGACCGGAGTGAAGCTACCTGCTGACATCAGCCGGGGCCTCAGTGTGCCACCGCTACCAGGCCGGGCAGGTAGGCTGTGACTTCGGGTCGGGAGTCGCAGGCGGACCCGGGGCGGCACCTGACAGGCCCGCGCCCTGAGGAAAGGCAGTCCCAGGCCGAAAAGAGACGTGGGAATTCCGCCCGACCCTTAGGGGAGCGCTTTTGCACCCAGCTTAGGCCTGGAGTTTGGCGCGTGGATATTTGCAACGATCTTATGAGGAAACTGCGGCTCGGATAAGTTCCAGGAATTTACATAGTAAAGGCAGAGGCAGCTCCATCGCCCAGGCCTTCCTGACTTTCTGCCCAGTGCCCCTTCTACACCCTATGGATGGAGCCCCCTCGTAGCAGTGCCTAGCAGGGGTCGGAGAATGCCGGGGCGCAGAGACCACCCTCATCCTCAGGGAGCTCAGTCCCAGCTCTTGAGCTGGGTGTTGCTCAGATGCTCAGACGCGCGTGTGGTGGGAGTTGGTAGAGAATGTAATAGTCTGATGTGCACCCTCTCCGTACACCCCTTCTTCCGTCTTATCTCATTAAACTGTCTCCTCCAATCAGTCTGCCCAAGCCAGGTTCATGGGAATCATGCCTCTCTCTTTCATTCATCCCCAACCCCCCTCATTCAATCAATCCATTACTAAATGCTATCCAGTCAACCTACAAAACGTCTCAACTCGGAACACTTGTCTTGAGCTGCAAGCCTTGATTGCTGTGATAGCCTTTTGTTTCCACGGTCATTCATTCCACAAACATTTACTGAGTTCCCCATGTGTGCGGGTACTGCGCTAGGTGCTAGGGTTACAGTGATGAACAAGGTAGGTGTTGCCCTGCCCTTTTGTTCTGTCCAGTCTGTTGTCCAGGCTAAGCCAGATGGAACTTTCTAAATCTGATTATGTCACTGCTGAGAACCCACTGGCTGCCCATTACCCTTATGATAAAATTCAAGCTCATTACTGCAGCTTTCAGAGCCCTCCACAATCCAGCTCTAGCCTCCCTATCTAGCCTCATCCTGTTCCATTCTCCCTCTGTCACTGTATCACACTAGCCTTTCTGTTCTTGGAACATATCATATTTCTTAATTGCCTCAGGATCTTCACATATGCTTTTCCGTCTGCCTGGAGTGCCTTGCTTCCTCCTTCACTTGAAAAACTTTTGGACGTCCTTTAGGTCTCTTTTTCAGAAAGACGTTGTTGATATTCCATGCCCCCTCTCATCAATTATGTTCTCTTGCTGCACTTCACATGGCACCATGTGCTTTTCTTTATACTGTTATCACAATTTGTGATCATTTGTTTACTGTTCAGAGACATTTTCTTCACTACTCTATCCCCAGAGCAGGGACTCAGTAGACCTTTCTGAATAAATGCATGCTCTCAGGGAAGGGAGTGGAAGTTGAAGCAGGTGTTTGCTTCCTCATGTTATTTGAATCTTTCTGGAGCAGCTGATCTGATTAATCACTTGATAGCTGTTAAATACACTATGTGTGTAACTCACCTGGTAGCTGTTAAATACACTTATGTGTAACTAGAACCAGCAGGAAGACAGATATTTTTTTTTTTTGGTCTCACTCTGGCACCCTGGCTAGAGTGCAGTGGCATCATCAAAGCTCACTGCAGCCTCAAACTCCTGGGCTCAAGTGATCCTCCTGCCTCAGCCTCCCGAGTAGCTGGGACTATAGGCACTCACCACCATGCCTGGCTAATTGTTCTATTTTGTGTAGAGATGGGGGTCTCGCTCTTGCTCAGGCTGGTTTCGAACTCCTGAGCTCAAGCGATCCTCCTGCCTCGGCCTCCCAGAGTGCTAGGATTTCAGGCATGAGCCACTGTGCCTGGCCACGATCTCTGTTTTTAATTTTTTGTGTTATGTTCTTTTTGCAGAATGAGAGTATTTTCAGTATTTCCATCTGAGAATTGAGGCATCCTTTGGAGTAGGAGTGCAGGGTGGCCTGGAAAGGGAGAAGATATCTTTGTTGGTTCTCTGTTCCCTACAGAAAAATAGAATCCACCCTCCTTAGCTTGGCACACAGGGTCTTCCTGATCTGGCTCCAGCCCCATCTTTCTCTTCGTCCCTTAGGCAGGATAGGCCCTTTCCATGACTCCAGGCCTTTGTCTATGCTGTTTTCTCTGCTTGGAATGACTTCCGTGGCCTCCTTACTTTGTACATTCTGGCTGAGGCTTCATTCCTTTCTGTGTTTTCTGCTAGAAAGGGAATGACCCAACTTTGATTCCCAATTCAGGCAAGTGTACAATATCTTGTACATTGTGGGTAATATTTTTACTCCTGGCTTCCTATTTTAACCCTAATTTTTAATTCAGTCAGGTTTCTCATTTGCTTTCTGTGTCATTCTAGTATGTGAATTTGAAAAGTCTTTTCGGCCAGGCATGGTGGCTCATACCTGTAATCCTAGCACTCTGGGAGGCCGAGGCAGGAGCATCACTTGAGGTCAGGAGTTCGAGACCAGCCTGAGCAAGAGCGAGACCCCGTCTCTACTAAAAATAGAAAAAAATTAGCTGGGCGTACTGGCATGCACCTATAGTCCCAGCTACTTGGGAGGCTGAGGCTGGAGGATCCCTGGAGCCCAGGAGTTTGAGGTTGCTGTGAGTAAGGCTGACGCCACTGCACTCTACCCAAGGCAACTGTCTAAAAAAACAAACCTTTTCATGTCTTTTCGGGTACATCATAGTATATATAAACAAGCTTATGGCTCACAACTTAGTTCAGATGTCACTCCCTCACCCCAAGGTAACTGCTCTATCCTCCTCCAGCTATTTAGTGATATTTCTGAACAAGCACTTAACACGGCATAATTTTTCAGTTTATGTGTCTGTCTTCCTCCAGCTAAACTATGTGCTTCTCCAGGGCGGGCACCATGTTGCATTCATCTTTGTACCCCCGGCATCTAGCAGTGTTGGCATATAGTAGGCACTCAAGAAATGTGTGTTGAATGAATGCTGCCTGTGACAAGCAACTGGACTTTATTCTTTCCTGACCCTTGCTCCTATGACACACCTCCTCCCGACTGCCACTGTCACCCCTTCTGAGCAGAACTTCTCTAGGGAACTCAAGGGAAACAGGTGAGGCTCTGAAGGTGGAGGCAGAGGGAAGGGGGAGCCTTTGGAACATCTGGGTTTTTGGTACTGGTGTCTGTGGGCAGGAGTGGGGCTGGGCCGGATGCAGGTGTTTCCTTGGGTGGCCAGGAAGTGATTAGGGATCAAGGCTGGTTTCTTTGCAGCTATGGCCAAGGACATCCTGGGTGAAGCAGGGCTGCACTTTGATGAGCTGAACAAGCTGCGGGTGCTGGACCCAGAGGTGACCCAGCAGACCATAGAGCTCAAGGAAGAGTGCAAGGACTTTGTGGACAGTGAGTATCATTTGGGGAGCCACCGTTCCAACTGTGCCCTGTACTCACCCCTGACTGCAGCCCTTGACCCTGCCGGGATGGTGGTGCTGGCTCCCTGCAGGTTGAGCCTGGCCTCCCTGAATCCCTTCCTGTGTGCCACCCACCTTGTCTGCCTGCCCCCTTCTTATGCTGTCACGTAGTCTCAGAGCACCAGTCAAACCAAACACTGGGATGGGGCGGGGATGGTTTTTACATATGCCATCTTTGATTTTGTGCCCTCAGAAACCTTAAACTTCACAGGGGCAGGACCATGGCATAGGGGTAGGAAATAGAATTATGTACTTATGATTTATTTCTTGGGAGAAACAGTCTCATCAGTGACAGGTTCTCCATTATTTGGAGTTAGAGATGATAACTGAAGTTTCTAGAGGCTGCTCAAAAGACTTAACGAAGTCATCTTTTGGCTAGAGATCTCCAGGAAGCCTCCTGTCCCAGCATCCAAGCAAGGCCAGTGCCAGTGGGTACAGAGCCGGATCTAGCTAGAGCAAGGAATTTCTGAGCCTTCTGGGGGCTCTGTAGAGAGAGCTGTTCTCTATGTAGAGAGCTTGACTGATGAAAAGTAGCTTGGGTTCTGTCACCAGTCTTCTGTGGTTGCTGTGTGCATGCCGTCCCACCTCTCTGGGCCCTAGTTTCCCCTCAGCAAAATGGGGTTCTGTCACATTGAGGACACTGAAAAAAGTGAATGGGAGATTAAGCACTTAAATGGTGTGAGCTCTTCATTCACTGTCATTACAGATGGGGAGTCCCCACCCTCACCATTCGGTGAAATCTAGTGTTATATCTGTGGCTAGTTTAGCAGCAGCACTCTTGCCCTGAGCAGTCCTTTCGTGAACAGCAGCTCTTCCTGTCACTCCTGGGGGAAGCAGGATTGGGGTCCATCTGGAGGATGGGCCCACCAAGGGCCTGGTGCCTTCATAGCCTGAGGTGACAGCAGCTGGCTGGGTCAGTGGGGATGCAAGGCCCAGGTATGCCCCAGTCCAGCTGGACACTCTAGGTTCAGACCGAGGGTGGGAGACTTAGGCCAGCAGACACCAAACTGTTTTGTTGTTTTGTTTTGTGATGAGGTCTCACTTCATCGCCCAGGCTGGAGTGCAGTGGCGTCACCATAGCCCAATGTGGCCTTGAACTCTTGGGCTCAAGCGATCCTCTCGCCTCAGCCCCCTGAGTACCTGGGACCACAGACGTCATGGTGCCATGGAGCCCTAGCTGGGCACCAAACTATTTTGACCCAAATTAGAAGGGGCAGTTAGCCCTGCCTTCTCATTGCTCAGGGAGTACCGATGCTGAGTAAATAAAACATTTTATTTTTTCTTTCCCTAAAAGAAATTGGCCAGTTTCAGAAAATAGTTGGTGGTTTAATTGAGCTTGTTGACCAACTTGCAAAAGCAGCAGAAAATGAGAAGATGAAGGTAAGATCAGTATGTCCTCTGTCAGCATCTCAGCCTGAGACCTTGGTTCACTAGCCTCCCATCTTTCCGCCCTCTTGATTTGTTTTGAGGGGTGGGTGGGTACCTGGGTTCTTTTATTTAATTAAAACAAGATTTTAATAACAACTTCTGGTGCAGTTTCACCTATTTAACTTACATGCCAGTATACTTTGTCATTATTTCATCTTCACTGAGATAGATGGTTTTATCTTATAAATGAAGGCTTGCATGGTATAGATGACTTGGTGAAGGGCACAAGGCAAATGGCACCACCAGAAGAGCCACCGAGTACCTGCGTGCCCAGCTCTGGCCCGCCTCCGAGCGTCTGTCGTATTCTCATCAGGCACTTGCGATCAGTAGATTAATCCTTCTGACTTACTCCAAAAGCTCTGGGGCTCCACATTCTCCCCCTCACCCCCACACCGACTTAGCTCCCAGACAGCCCCTCCCCATTTTGAAGACTTAATGCTGTAGCCGGTTTTAATGAAGCCATGACCTCCTGTTTCCTAGGCCATCGGTGCTCGGAACTTGCTCAAATCTATAGCAAAGCAGAGAGAAGCCCAACAGCAGCAACTTCAAGCACTAATAGCAGAAAAGAAAATGCAGCTAGAAAGGTAAGACGTCTAGATGCAAAGCAAGTTCTTTACTCAACTGAGATTCTACTTTTCCTTCTGGAATGATCACTTCTCATTCTTCATCGTTTTCCCAGGAATAGCATCTCACTTGTCATCCTGATTTGAAGATTTTTAAAATAAAATTACATTTGAAAGGAAGGAAATAGAAAATTTGTTAATATCAACCAACCTCTAGTAGCTTGAGCATGAAAGTTGAGGTAGCAAGGGTCCCCAGGGTTGGCCGGCTCTCGGAAAGACGACTTCCCCAGGGCTGGAGATTTCTAATGGGTAGCCCTGGGAAGGGCTTTCCCTCTTACTATCTTCTTTCTTCATTCTGAACCCACACCATTTCTTGAAATCATTTAAACCTCTATTTTCTTCTCTAGAAGAATTAAGACTGTGGTTTACTTCATCCTTTTTCAGGGCTTTTAACAATTTTGTTTTTCAGGTATCGGGTTGAATATGAAGCTTTGTGTAAAGTAGAAGCAGAACAAAATGAATTTATTGACCAATTTATTTTTCAGAAATGAACTGAAAATTTCACTTTTATAGCAGGAAGGCAAAGCCCGCTCCCTAAACCAAAACCCCCGTGTGCCACTCCAGCAACTTGACTAATGATCTAAAAGCGTGTCACCGTGCGTGAGGAGCGCAGCCCTCTGAAGGCAGCACTGCGAGGCTGAGGGGCTCATTTTGAGCATCAGTGCACAGCTGCCACCGGTGGCCACGTGGGGGGGGGGGTCTCACCTCTTGCATTCTTAGTTTGAACTAAGCAGACTGTAAGCTTTCATCCTTTTTTTGTAAACTTACAAAGCTTTGGAAAGAAAAGCAATAAATTGTTTTCAAATGGCTCAATTTACCTTTTTTCCTTGAAGTATGTTTAACCCTTGTGGGAAAACCCTGGATTCTTTAGCCCCCTCCGTTCACAAAGCAAGCCAGGCAGTGGTCAGCAGCTTTTATTTAGACCAGACACATGTCAGACACCACCACCAACAATCAGACCAGTACAACCTGTGAGCAAAACAGGCAAACGCAGGGAAGTGACTGGGACCTGTTGTCTACCATCTTTTAGTGTTGGCCTTCAGTACAGATTTAAAGGAAGCTAATGTACAAAGCACTAATGTGAAGAGACCCTATATACACACAGTGGGTACGTCATACCCAGCTGTCACCCCCTCCTTTCTCCTGAGAACAAGATGATTAAACTGTTACCAGGAAGGATGCAGTTATCCACGAGGGATCAGGCCGGAGACATCAGACTTCAGAGGAAAGGACTTATGTCAGGTGGTCTCTAAAAATAAGGAAGACTAAGATTTGGATACAGGATGACTTTTTTAAAAAAAATCTCTTCTGGGATGAGCTATTTAAAACAGAAATAAAAACACTTTCAGGTTTGACCCATTTCTGACTGAAAGTCATGCTAAGGCTTGAACTGTAAGGAAAACAGTTCAAACCTCTTTTGCATAGTTTCCCCCCAACCCACCCCGCCGCCAGGGATAGAGGTGGGGCTGAGAAAAAAGGATAGAATTTTTAATGAATATTAAAGAGGCATGACTTCAAATTTTAAAATGGCCTCAAACATCCCATTATTCATTTTGCTGATTGGTGATATGCTGCAGAGAATCATGAGTCAAGGGTTTAGCCAGATGTGTGCTGTGGGTCAAATGACTCACGAACTTATCAAGCAGGCCGTGTTCTTGGAAGTTTATCCAGTTTCTGTTCTGGTGCTGCTGTCAGCAGTCCTGCAGCAGAGCTTAGGCACGTAGTGAGGTATTTGGCACCACTTCCCTAAACCCTAGCCCACACCCTCCGCCCACCCTGAGAGCTGATCAGCCTCTTCAGCTCAGTGCCTTTGGAGGGGGAGGGTTTGACGGGCTCCCGCCACTGTCTTGCTCTTGTGTGTTGCTGCTGGTATGATTCGAATGCTGCTGAAGACACGGGTTCGGAGCTGTTTTCCTTGTAGTGGGTCCAATAGGCAACTGCCCCATGGGCTTCTCCCTGGGCCAGTGGTGGTTTCATTTTTTTTTTCTTTTCTCACACTTGTAGTAGGGGCTCCGCAACATGAAAAGTAGAAGTATGAAGGGGATGAGTAAGTAGGGGGCATAGACAGTTACGAGGGTTAATCGTTCATGCAAAGTCTCAGGTCCTTTGAAACCACTGGCTTTGGAGAAATCCTCAAATAAAAATGTGAAGAGAATTGGAACCAAAGTTGTCATGGTGTGAACTGAGTAGATGATTGCAGGGGTTCGGATCCACTTGCAGCTCCCTGAAGTAGTTAGAGGAAAAGAAAAAAGCAAGGGTCAGAGGTCTGCTTGGGACTCCAAGGATGTCCATGACCTTCTCTACCCTGTCTCTGCTTGTCTGCTCCCCTCGGTCACATCTTTCTGTCCGCTTCTCCAAGTGGAAAGTCAGAACCAATGGGAAACTGGATGTTACGCTGCTCAACGTGCAAACTTACATGACAGCTGGGATCCCAGCTCACTGCAAAGAACCAAGGGTGGGGGCTGGAATATAATCAGAAAAACTCTGGGGCAGTAAAACTGCCAGTACCAGTTAGACCTAAACCCCTGTCCTGCAGCATCTGAGCGTGAAATGATTACATACAGGTGAGAAGACCAAGAGGCGGACTCAGTGACACTGGGGGACTCCAGGGGGAAATAAGCATTTTCAGCTGCACTAGGTTAGGTACCAAGCACACAGGCATGGCCGCCTTCTTTATAAAAGCATTACTGATACGAGAACGTTGTAGAATAAATTTTAAATGTGAAGTTAAGCCCTTTAGGGATTAGCTGGATGCTACTGCTTATAAGTCAGTATGATACTATCCAAAGCAGAAAAATAAAAGAAATTAATTCTGTGGGGGAAAAAACAAAAGGGAACAAGCTCATCTTTACAGTGGCCTCAGGTGTGAGAGAGGTTTCCAGATAACTGAAGCAGCCATGCAGCCACAGTCAGTCTAGGCCACATTAACGTCCCCTTTACAAGATCTATCCTGGCTATTTCCCCAGATCTGATGGCACCCTCATACAAACTACGGGACCGCGCCCCTCTCCCTTGGAGATATTTTTCCAAAAGATTTCTGGGACCTGATTTCTGAGCAAAAACGGGACCTTCCTACCATTTACCAACCTTTGAAGAAGGCGTATGTCGCAAAGGGAAAGAAAGGCAGCTGAAACAGAAGCTCGCAGAACAAGAAGGACTTAAACCACACCGGGGGGTCCTGTAGCAGAGGGTCTTTGAACTCCTTGGCGTACCACGTCAGCAGGTTTCTAAACTGGAAAAAGACAACGATCATGATGAATGACAGCCACCTGCCTGGAGAGGCTCAGCTCCGACTCATTTGAAGACACACTGGATGAGTCCGTCGTTACTTAACCCCCTTGGCAGACGGCACACCCAGCTTGCTTTTGTGACATGGCCTAGACATAGTCATTTAGTAAAACCTTACTAGCCCTAACGCAAATGCTGCCTTTTCTGAAGTTTTCCTCAACTCTTCTAGCTACACATGTCCAGGTGTTAAGACACATATCCACTTTCAAGAACGAAAAATAAATACCTGGCACTTGGTAGGCTCTCAGGATGTTCACTGAATGAACAAAAGTGACATTTCTGCCGACAATATCATTGTTTGTTTTTAAAAAAGGGAAAACCATCCTGACATTTTTCCTTTCACAACAGACACCAAAGGCCAGATTCCCTCGAATACGGAAATGAATTTCCCATGCCTTTTTTGGGGAGGAGGTGGTGATGGAAAGGGAGGTAAATCTAACCTCTGTGGAGATATAATTTTGGATGCTTAGCCAGTATTGCAAATAAGTTCCTTTTCATTCTTACTTCCCCTAATTCTAAATTTTTTTCTTTGAGGAGACCAGTAGGGTACTAGTGGAAGAACAAAGTCGACCCCAACCCACAAACTACACATCTTCTAGGCTGCACAAGTCTCAAGAGTTAGTGGTCTCTGTTTTAGCTTGGGCCCCACCCTTATAATCACCCTGTCAAATAAAAAGGTGCAGATCCACGTTGACGTGGCCACAGGCAGAGGAAGGAGGCAGAGATTGAGGCTGCCCATTTTCTGCTTTTATAGGCGCCCAGCAGCTGGGGCTCTCAGCTTTACGAGGGCTACTGAAAGTCTGTTGCGTTAATCCTTCTGGAGGTGGCCTTGTCCTGACACACATGCCTTCAAAGCCACGTAGGTCTTGATACTAAGATGAATAAAGGCAACTCCAGGGTAAGAATTTATCTTATGATGGAAAATCCAAGGACATTTTTCCTGTTAATTTTTAATCAAAAGATAAAAGCTCACTGTTGTGAAACAGAGGCCTCACCACTGCAAGTGAGCTTTAAGCAAATATCCAGAAACAAACATTCTGTTGGCATAATACTAATTTCAGAAAGGCTCTGGCTAGATAACCAATTTATTGGCCAATCTCTAATTTATACTTGATTTGAAATGAAAATTCATGGCAATACCTTTGTTTACTCCTAAGCACTTCTGAGGACAGTAATGTGGTGGGAAATACTAGTAAAGGTTAAGTACTGTCCCTCTCCAGGACTCTATTTCCTCATCTGGAAAATGAGCAACTTGGACTAAACATTTTTTTTTTTTTTAAGATCCTTTTTTGCTTTTTAGATTACTTTTGAAAACACTGGAGGAAACTACCTGTTTTAAAATATTTACTGTAGAATTTAAAAGGCATTCTGGTCCATTTGAACTTCATTTTCTATTTAATTTGTACAGAATTGGATCCACCTACTTCATATACTGAGGCAGACTTACACAGTGCTATAATTTCTAAGGGCTGCAGAATGAGATTAGCAAAAAAAGAAAAAAAAAAAAATTCAGAAATAATCTAATCAGCCAGCTCTCATAATCAGTTAGGACCCAGTCACTTGCCCACAATTATATACCAGCTACCTAATGCCAGGAGGCGGCCCAGGCCCCTAGGAGAGTGGTGGGGAGTGTGGGACCTGGGGCAGAGTGCCTGTCTCTGGGCAAGGCCTTTAATCTTTCTACACTTGCTTCCCCATCTATGAAGCAGGGCCAGTAATAGTGCTCACCTCACTGTTGTAAGATACAGTGAGCTAACACAGATGTCTTTAGAACCATGGCTAGCACATAAGATTACTCAATTGAACATAATACTGGAAGATGTACAAGTTTAATCCTATTAAAATCACAGCACGTAACTGGCCATTAATAATTACTTAAGATTCTCCAAAAAGGTATTATTAATAAAACTATTTTTGTTTATACTCGACTCATATTTGACTCAACTCACCATTGTTATCCATGAAAAGATTCACCTGGCCTGCACATCGGCTTTCTAAACCAGAGGTTGCTACTGAACAATCTTGCACTTTTCTAATTTAGAATGAGAACACAGACTGATTTCAGATCCAGATAGATGCTCACCTGCTTTTCCTTAGATTAACAGAAGCAATGTTACCCAGCTGCAAATGATAACACAAAATGCCTCCCATCCTCTCCCTCCTATGTTCCAACCCAAACTAAATTATTTTACTCTTTCATAATAGTTTTCCAAGTGTTGATTTGGTTCAAACCACAAAAAAATTTTAATTTGCAAAATTTCAGCCCAACCATTATGTGATCTCACACAGGCTTTTTTAGTTCTAGGGAAAAATTCCTTCTATTTAGGGAGGAAAAACAACAGATGTTAAATTTTGGTATTTTTCAAAGAGAATCTGAGAATAACTCAAGGCTTTTATTGTTATTTTCCCCATAGAGAGGTAACAAAATCACCATTCCTTACATCAAAGCAGCAAGTGAACAGAGGCACAGGCCTTCCAAAAATTTTACCAAATCAAATTTATACATTTAAATGGGGTCTTTATGATGTTGGGCACAACATCATATGATGATGAACATCT